CTCAAAATGGTGATGACAATGCACAAAGTTACCTCCCTTCTTTTGATCTGCTGTTTGTTGTGCGGCTTGGGTCATGGCATGAGCATGGAAGAAATGACAAAGTAAGTACAATTGAATTGAATATCTAAAAAGCTTCATATATATATATATATATATATATATATATATATATATATATATATATATATATATAAAATAGAGAATCGGAAAACAGTACTTGTTCTCCGATTGTCTAATTTTTTTCAATTTCTCTTTTCTACAGATATGTACTGAGAACTTTCACACACACACACACAATATCGTCATAGGAACAAACATACCCATATATATATATATATATATAGATATATATAGTTTTTGCTTTTCTGAATCATCTTCAAGAAGCGAGAGCAAGATCTAAAAGGTCAGCCAATCTAACAGTGATCTCATCTCACAATCCTCACACTTGCTCCATATGCGGCCTCCTTTGTAAATCACTAGCGGGTCTTAAATGCCACTTAAGATTAGCGCATAAACTTTCATAACTGAATCAATAAGCTGGCAGATCCTCATACGTCGAAACTGACGGGAGAGTCCATTATTATTATTATATATAGTGTGCTATGTTTATGGGATAAAGTGCTCAATATCAAAGATAGAACGTATGCAAATATAATTATAAAATTGAAGGCCTGACGATTGCGTCTAGCATGAAACAGCCTGTCGCCTCTGAGTGTTGACTTTAATGTTCACTTTATATACATACATACATACATATATATATATATATATATATATATATATATATATATATATATATATAGGCAGCATATCTTCATTCAAACACGTGTTTGTTTCATTGAATAATATAGACATACTATGTCTATTTTACAATAATCCTTTCTAGTTACTTGATGGTAAGATGAAATTCATCAACGAAGGCGACGTAGTTTTTTTCCGACACAAGTACTTTCGATCATCCTCAGGGGTGAATTACAAAAACAGACTTACTGTAAATGTGATCATTGTGATGGTCATTTTCAAAAACACGTGTGAACGCGCTCCATTATAATTATTTAAACATTTTAATTTTATCCGTTGTAGCTATGGAGTTTTTTTTTGCAAAACAAGCATCCCAATATAAGGGAGCTAACCAGAAATTATATATAAATCCAAAAACGTTGGTGCAAATAACCAAAAGACTACTTCTCAAAAGATCTAAACCGTAGACATGGAAAAGATCCCAATCTAAGAAAGAAAATAGTGACAAAACGAAAGCTTACCTTAGCTCACTCGTTTCATCCTATGATGGGAATTATCAAGGCAAATGTAAGGATTTTATTTTGCAAAAGGTATTTATAAACAGGTATTTATTTTTAATTTTGAAAGACGCTCATGAATATTCATCAGGTTTGCTGAAAAGTCTAGCTAAATTATGGAGGAGGCTACCTGAAATATTTTAATGTCTAATAAACGAAAGTGAGTAAATGTTGAATTGTTTTCCTTTTGTTTTTATACATATTGTCCTTTTACAGATATATTTTAGCTATATCTGAAATTTTACACATACACACATACACACATCTATCTATCTATCTATCTATCTCTCTCTCTCTCTCTCTATATATATATATAATCTATGGATATTTAGAGCAGTACTATAAGAAAACTTAAGCGAAACCAGTTAAAGTAAAAAAAAGTTTAGGAAAAAAACAAAAAGTCGATTCCAAAACAAATCGATTTCAACACAAATTTTAAACTAAAATCTCCCTCAGTTTTCAAGCAATCTAATACAAACTTCACTGAATTGTTGCCAACAATACGTTAATTGTTTAAATTGATAACTGAGTTTACCTATATGACGATTTTTATCGGTTTCTTTATTATTTTTAGTTGATATTTCAACAAATTTTTATCAAACATAACAATTTCTTTATAAATGTATCCTCTTTTACATCCCTGGTAGCACACTGACAAATTGAATTTCAAAAACTGTAAAATAATTGTGGTCTGAAGTGGGTCTTCATGTTACCTGTTTTATCCTTCACGTCCTCGGCTAACTTCAATTGAATAGATACAAACTAATTCTGTTATATCAGTAACTGCATTAATTCAAAATGTTTTTAATGAAAGTACTTTAAAGTAATTGAAGAAGATAGACTCTGTTATGTCTAAACATGATGCTGTTTTTGCTCCATTCTAATCGGACGCTTTTTCTGGTATGGCTGCTAGTTATATAGTTATATAGATATATTTTAGATATATTATTTAAACGTTATATATATATATATATATATATATATATATTATACGAGGCCTGGCTAAAAAGTAACGGGACTTATCCGTTCTTCGATGTGAGAAGCATTATCTTTCTTGCCACAAGGCCAGCCGATCAATCGGCAAGTCTACAAAGAGATCCTGCGGTGTTTGTTTCGCTCAGTGCTTTTGAAGAGACGAGAGTGTAGCAGGACAAATCGTGGCTGCTTCACCAAGACAATGCACCTCCTCACATTGCCCTGAGCATCAGGCAGTTTCTGACCGCGAAGAACATCGCCGTATTGGAACAACCTCCCGACTGACTTGATATTGCTCCGTGGGATTTATTTTCCTTTTCCCAAGTTCAAGGGGTTCATCAAGGGGACATGCGTGTGGGCCATCAAGAGGGTCCAAAGAAGAATCTTTCCAGCAGTACATAGAAACGTGGCAGAGAATGATGGAACATTTCACTAAACTTGAGGGGTATTACTTTGAAGGGGAAACCATACAGTTTATTATTCAGAATTGAAATAAATTGTGACATCAGTCCAGTTACTTTTTAGACAGACCTCATATATAAATATATATATATATATATATATATATGAAGACAAAAGTTCATTCTCTCAAGACATTCATTTCTGTAGTTTACTGCTACCAGCAAGCAGAAATATTTCTTCTCCTGATGATGGCCATTTTGGCCGAAACTAGTCGAGGAATCTAAATGAAATAATAATAAATAAAAAAACGAAAGAATATTAATCTACAACCCAGTGTATCTGAAGATTTTAATTTTTTCCTATGTTTTTATTTTCAATATATATATATATATATATATATATATTGGACAGATGAGTGTACATTTTAAAGGTATTTCTGGTTAATCACTGTATAGCAAACCAAAATGTTAATAAGACAAACATGAAGAGAATGACATCAGTTGATTAAAAAAGTTAGGCTGTTTTACCATAGTGCCGATTGCTACTGTAGTGAAGTCGAGCATTACTGGTGCGGGGACTCTGTTTTAACAGTATAAATAGTAAAGACAAAAAAAATAAAACCAATGTCTGCCATATGTGCTCCCAATTCAGGTTAATTTTTCCTCGGACAAAATTGATAATATCAGCCATTTGAAAATGTTGCTGACCAACTATACACCCTATCTTCCTACTCTTTTTGACTAGCTTTTGTTGAAGTGTCTCTTTCCGGTTTTATTTATCTGAAGAATTTGAGCGAATTTTGAGAAGCAGGTTAAAAACCTGTTCAAATTTAACAAACGGCATACTAATGTCTCACGAATGTAATCAGCTAGATGACTAATGGCAAATGTCCACTATAAAACATTTATTTCATGTTGAAAAGGATTCATGACAAATTGAACGTTATCAACTACAGTCTGTTGTTAATTGAAATAGCTAGTTAATTTTAACGCCTTCAAAACAAAACTGCTTTCTTATAATCGTCTGAGAGAACCTTTTATTTTGACTTCTATCAGGAAGGCTGATGCTAACTTTCAGGACAGTGACGACTTCTTGGACTAACGTTTTCTGTTGACTTGAAATGGAAAGATTATATTGAATCCATTACTGGTTTGCTTCTAGAATAGTTGGCTTACTGAGTCGTGCTAGACAAGTTTTTTTTTCCGTCAGACTCTATCTTATCTATCTTACACATTTATAAATCTACCTTTCGTCTATGCAATGAATATTGCTGTCACATCTGGTCTGCTACTTCTGCTATGTAGAGATTCTTGATAAAGAATAATCTACAATGTCATTGGTTCTGACCTGGCATCTCGGCTTCAGTAAGTGTTATGGTAATTTACCCACGCACACATGGACTCTCCCAGTTATAAATAGGAGCAGATACTGACTTTTGGAAGGGGAAGTTTCCAGCAATCAGCTCTGACAGTCGGACCGAATATACTTGCTGTAACACTCTCGATTGTAAATGTTTGTATTACTGTTTTACTACAGCGACGGACGTTACATTTAAATGTTTGCAGATCAAAGTTGACAGAAAGCATGGAACCAGAAGGGAATTCTATAAGCGAGAAAAGAAATTGTTAGCATGGAATTTACGGTAACATTTAGTCAGCTTAACTGTAAACTGATAAGATCTCGACGACGGTCTAATACAGCGCTTAAATTTTAAAAAAGTCTAGGTGTCCTAACGAAGAGCGATATTTATTTCTGCACAAGGCCAAAATGGGGAATGGTGACTTCTGTCTTAACGTTAAACTTACCTAGCCACTAACATTCACCCAAACATACAACAATATTCCTTACACCAAAACAACGCATTCTTACTTACCTTTCTTACTACATCTACCATAATACCTTATTGTCTTCATCAATATCCTAACTAAACCCCATATGTACAGTTCATTGTCTGAAGTGGGGTGGTGAAACAACAATTTAAAAACTAACCCCGATGAGTATTTACAATATGAATACAATTATATTTACAAGAATCTAAACAAAATAAAATTAGTAATAACACTCCCCACCCCAAAATCTTAGCGAAGATCTCATTCGAACAATTGCCATGAAAGTATTTATAGAAAAGACACAGAGAGGCAACCTTATGGCGGTGTGAAGAGGACTGTAGCCGAGCCGTCAGATAAGGACTGATAATATTGCTGATTTTTCTTTGCATTTTTATCAAGGAACTCAAGATAAATAGCAGGAGCATCAAACCATGTGTGGCAGCAATATTCTAAGCATATACGAATCTGGAGAGAAAGATTGTCTCGCACGACACAGTGAACCAACATTCTTAGCAACTGATTTAGCATTCAATATAATCCTTCCCCTTCATGTTAGCTAAGAACGTTAGCCCGATAAGACGCAATGTGTTACTTTCCTGGAGGTTAGCATCAGCCATATTGATGGATGGCAGGGTAGGGCCTCTCAGATGATTATTTGAAAGAAGGTTAATTTTGGAGGCGATAAAATTAACAAGCCATCTTTTGCACCATGCAGCTGAGTGAAGAGTAGGGGTCGCGTTGTATATTTACACAACGATAATATTACATGTGTTCGTCACATGTAATTCTTGTACCTTGTCTAATTGACATTGAATGAAAATGTAATCGAAAAAGAAACAATATTTAGTTTTGTTTGTCTTCATGTAATGATTTTATTAGGATTATTTGTTATCATTTTGAACACTTTTCTTGCAGGTCAATTCCGAAGGGTGTGTCGTTGCTAACATATGCTGGAATCTGCGAGGCCTGCGGTGAATTCTATGGAAACACATTCACTTACCGGTGTCTAACGGACAAGAGCTTTGAAACTTACCGTAAATGCAACATCGCTGTCACCCAGAAGCGAAAATGAAGAAGAAAAAAATGAAGAAAAAAAGAACAGGGGAAGTCATGTTGAAAACTATTTTTTTAAAAAGTCAACACGGATAGAAGACATGTTTGGGAAAGAGGAAGGAAAGAAGAAATAAAAATTCATTTAAAAAATCACAAATTGAAGAGTTCTTTTGTTATTAAGATTCTTTAAACAAGAGTTTTTTTTGTAAACGATTTTACCAGACGAGAGTAAAATAAGACTCATCAGAAATGAATAGATAGATAGATAGATAGATAGATAGATAGATAGATAGATAGATAGATATCAATGAATAGATAGATAGATAGATAGATAGATAGATAGATAGATAGATAGATAGATCAATTAATAGACAAATATAGATAGATAGATAGATAGATAGATAGAGATCAATGAATAGATAGATAGATAGATAGATAAAGAGATAGATAGATAGATCAATTAATAGACAAATATAGATAGATAGAGATCAATGAATAGATAGATAGATAGATAGATAGATAGATAGATAGATAGATAGATAGATAGATAGATAGAGATCAATGAATAGATAGATAGATAAATAGATAGATAGATAGATAGATCAATTAATAGACAAATATAGATAGATAGATAGATAGATAGAGATCAATGAATAGATAGATAGATAAATAGATAGATAGATAGATAGATAGATAGATCGCGGAACAGACACAGATAGACAAATCAATGAATAGACGGAGAAAAAACAGAGAGATCAATGAATAGACAAATATAGATAGATATAGATCAAAGATAGATAGATAGATAGATAGATAGATAGATAGATAGATAGATAGATAGATCAAGGAACAATAGACAAATCAATGAATAGACAGAGAAAAGAGAGAGATCAATGAATAGACAAATATAAATAGATAGATCAAGAAATAGATATAGTTCAATATATATACATATATATATATATATATATATATATATATATATATATATATATATAGATAGATAGATAGATAGATAGATAGATAGATAGAGCAAGGGACAGCCACAGATAGACAAATGCATTAATGAATATACAAATCAATGAATAGACAAATAGATAGAGATCAATAAATTGATAGATATAGATCAACAGATAGATAGAAATGAAAAGACAAAGATCAATAAATAAAATATATAAAAAGATCAATCAATATACAGATAGAGATCAATGAATTCATAAATAAATAGATCAGTGTATAGAGAAATAGAGTTTAATGAATAGATCGATAAATAAATAAATAAATAAATATATAAAACAATATATAGATAGATAGATAATGAAAAAAATCGAGACTGATAGATAACCGTTGTGATAGAGCAAGGAGTAGACAGATAAATCAATAAACAAATAAATAAGTATTTTAATCAACTTATATATTTGTCTAGTAGCAGAAAATATTTCATTAACGAAACAGAAACTTATCATTTTGTTCGTTATATCAGGCTCCTTGCAGATAACTAATATAAGGGGTGAGGTTAACAGTTTTGACAGTTTTTCAAATTAAGTGGATTCAATACGTATACACAGATTTTCATACACACACAGAAACACACAGAGACACACACACACAGGCACACACACAAAAAAAAACAAACAGCAGTATAACCCGTCTTTTGCCATTCAATTGGAACAGTTTAAGTTTAAATTCATCCCGCCCGACAATCAATATTAGTAACAACATTTCGGTGCAACTGAGGCACATACACAAATGGGGGGGTCAACAATTTGAATGAGGGGGTGTCCCTGAAAAGGGAACTGTATAATAATAATAAATAATATTATTGGAATAATTTAAACTATTTTTATTAAAGTTTTTATGATAGATATATATCCAAGAACAGATAGTAAATAGTAAAACGTTGCTGTGATTTATAATGGACAGGAAGTAGTGGAGAGCCATTGTCGCCAACAATTTGGACTCAAAACCGGCACTGAAGAATTATCTATCAAACAAAAAAAATTCATCGAAATCGGATGAAAACTGTGGAAACGCATAAACATCCGATCACACATACACACACATACATACACACATACATACACACACACATTTTTTGAGAATATATATATATATATATATATATATATATATATATATATATATATATATATATATATAGGAATAAGTAGGATAAAAATATACTTACACGCACAAATACAAATACTTGCATGTACGTAAGTATATTTCTTCCTCAGGGGTTATAAATGAATGCAGTGCTCAATGTTATGAAACATATCTATAAGTATATATTAGTGAATAAACAGAACATCCAATGTCGATAACATTATTCGGAGTTTAATGCAGTTAATGCAATCTTCAGGTGTGAACTCTGACCGTTATCTGTCGTGTTCTCGTAATGATGATTCCAAAGTGGATGTACAAATTTGTCTATTTAAAATATAGAATTAACTATTAAGAATTTATATCGTTCAAATTCATGAGTTCGAAAGTTTTTTTAATTTCTTTTTTCCTTATTTTAGATTCTCCGACTTTATATATATATATATATATATATATATATATATATATATATATATATATATATGAAGAAAAAAACCTTAAATATTCATTTCGATTATAATTTATTTCGTGAATACCAAAATATTCAACTCTTCAGATCGAAATCTCTTTAGTAAAGGGAGACAATACACCGGACGGATATATTAGATTGATAGGGGGAGGGAAAGCAAGAGAGAAGAGAGAAGAAAGAGGGGTTATAGAAAAGAAAGGATTAAGGAAGTAATGGCTGGGTAGTAGTTAGCTTAAACCGGCTGGCCCGGCCAAAATTTTCCCCTTGAAGTTTGGAAGTTTTTATATTAGGTTATACAGCAAATTAACCGATATGGCCTGCTGCTTTAGGCAGGACAAACCAACTCGATTCCAAAATTAGTTAGTCTAATGAAAGAGTCTTTAATAGAACTAATAAGTAGAGATTACAATAATAATATCTAAGTATCCATCTCTTCAGACCGAAATTTGTTAGTCAATGAAAGCAATATACCGGACGAATATATTAGATTGACAGGGGGGGAGGCAAGAGAGGAGATATGAGAGAAGAAGGGAAAACGCTTTTAAAAAGGTAAGATATAGGGGGGTGGGTTAAAGATTTAAAGGGTTAAGGAAGTAACGAATGGTTAGTAGTAAGCCTTAACAGACTAACCCGGCCAAGAATTTCTTTAAGGTTTGGAATTTTGTACATTGGTTTATATAGCAAATTGAACGATATGTTCGGTTGTTTTAGGTATAATCAACCAACACAATTCCAAAGTAGTTAATTCAATGAAAGAGTCTTTAATGCAAATAATAAGTAGAAATTACAATAATAATAATAATAATAATAATACTATCAGGCATAAATGAAGGGATTTCGAATACAGATAAATAAAACAAATAAATTTAGAAAATTAAGAGTAAAAATAAAAATACAAATAAAAATAAAAATGGTGTATGCATAAGGATACAAAAGATGTTAGTTTAGAAATATGGCTGTGGTGTACACCGGCTACGGCAGTCATGGATTCAACTATGTGTGAAGAAACACGCAAAAAACAACAAAGTCGTGTGATACTCAATATCAACCCACATTCACACCTACACATATACATACACGTGTACATACCTTCATACATACATATGAATGTATACCCATATGAGTTATTAGCCATATAAACAAACCAACCCTTCAAGTGTGCAATCCCCCCTACATCATTATAATGCTCTGTAGTCTACATTGAGCTCTCTCTGAATTATCCCTACCAGTCAGAAACTGGTTATATATATATCTATATAGATAGATAGATAGATAGATAGATAGATAGATAGATAGATAGATAGATAATATTAGTGGTAAATATACACATACATATGCAAAATATATATACATACAAACATGCACATACATATATATTTTGTATAAAGAAAAATTCGAAGAGGATAGAATCCAGGTAGAACTCAATGTCCAGGACAGAGTAAGGATATTTTTTTTTTTTTTTTTTTTTTAAGCATTTCACCCCAAGCAAGGCGGGGATCCACTAGGACGCAAGGGGTTACAGAAAATAGGAAGATCAGATAGGAGTGATAGAAGAAAGGATGAGGGTAGTAGATAGATTAAGGCAACTGGAGATGTCCATTGACATTACACTTGAATAGCTGGAGATTATAACTCTCAGGGAAACAGGAGAAGGGAAGAGAGTTCCACAGGCGAGAGGTGCGAGACATGAAGCTATTAGAGTAGAAGAGACGGCTACATTTATGAGTTTCGACAGTGAAGGGGTGAGAGCGGGATGCCAGCCTCGTAGGGCGCTTGAACTCATGAAGTTTGGGAACCAGCGAATGCAGTTCCTCGGAGCAATTTCCATGAAAGTATTTGTAGAACAGACAGAGGGAGGCGACGGTCCCGAGGCAAACAGAAGGGGCGCCAGACCATATATGGCAGCAATACTCCATGCAAGGGCGAATTGTGGATTTGTACATCTGGAGGATCGACTCAGGGGAGAAAAACTTCCTAGCACGGCTCAGGGAGCCAACTTTCCTCGCAGTGGACGAGGCAATTGACTCGATGTATTTATTCCATCTCAGGTCAGCAGTCAACGTGAGACCGAGAAGCCGCAGAGAGTTGCTCTCGGAAGTTGAGCGTCAGATATTATAATGGAGGAAGGGAAGGCTCTGTGGTGATTAATAGAGAGCAGTTTTGTCTTCGAAGCGTTGAAGTTGACCAGCCAAATCATGCCCCAGTTCACAATCGATTGGAGGTCCTTTTCGAGAGGCGCACGGCAAGGTGAGTTTTTGTCAGCGAGACTGGATTTGTTTTTGAGGCACGAATAAATTGTGGTGTCATCCGCGTAGATGCCGACTTGAGAAGTTACGGCGTCAGGAAGGTC